GCGGGATGATCGGCGGGTTTTTGCTGCGGTACTGGTCGCTGCGGATGGGGCGGACGCGGGACACGCAGGTGTAGCTGCAGACGTGCGGCAGGTAGAAGAGTTTCTCCAGGGGGGCTCGGTAAGAGGGCTCGTTGGGCACGCGGTCCATCATGCCGTGGAAGGGCTGCGCTGTGCCGCTGCCTGCCGGGCCGCTGGGGAGCCTGGGACAGGAAAAGGGATACACTGAGCAAGCGCGGCTTAAGGACGAGCGGTGCTTCCTCCTCAGACTGCAAAGGGAAATTTTAGGGACTTCGCTCCCATCAAAGCAGCTGCTGGTTGCACACTGGGACACCTCGGTGGGCTTTGCTGCTCAGCCCAGTGAGACCCAAGCCCCAGCATCCCTGGTGAGCGAGGCTGGGCAGACCCCGAGGGGAGCGTTACCAGCAGCAGAGAACGCAGGAAAAAACCCCAAATCCAAACTGGGGAAGCAGAAACAAGCATGAGCTGGTTGCGGTCTCAGAATAGGAATCAACAGCTTCTGTGCAGCAGATTGATTGGCACAAACCCACCGCTGGGGAAGAGCCACCTGCAGATTTACATTAATGGCAGCTGCACCCCCGACCCCAGAGAGCTCGTGGAAACAGCAGTGCTCGGAAAACAGACAGGGGCAGAGCTTTGGCCAGAGTCCCACCTGCTGCTCAGAACTGATAAGATCTAAGGCAGAAATTCTTCCCTCTGAGGGTGGTGAGGCACTGGGTCAGGTTGCCCAGAGAAGCTGTGGATGCCCCATCCCTGAAAGTGTTCAAGGCCTGAGGCTTTGGGCAGCCTGGTGTAGTGGAGGGTGTCCCTGCCCATGGCAGGGGGTTGGAACTGGGTGATCTTTGAGGTCCCTTCCAGCCCAAACCATTCCAGGATTCTGTGGTTCTATGACAAGAGACCCTGGGAGCTCAAATCAACAACAAAACGTAACGAATGATTGTCTGGGAGGGGGAACAAGGTGGAAGGAAGACAAGTGCTCGGGACTGGAGGAGCTGGCAAATGAAGGCGTCGGAGCTGGCGAATGAAGGCGTCGATCCAGGACAAAATAAACCCCACCAAACCCAACACGCACCCCGGGCTGCCACGAGGACGCCGACACGCCGCGCTTACCGATGCTGCAGGGCCGCGCCGGCCCGGCCCGCCGCGGGTGTATCGCTCAGGACCGGCGACGGCGGCGATGACTGCCCAGAGCCCACGGAGCTGGGACGGAAGGAAGTGCTTTTCTTGGCCACTTGCTTTCTCGACTGGGCCAGCTGACCGTCGGAGCATCTGCACGGGGAAGAAGGGAGGCGATTTGCAAGACGCTCACACGACCGGTAGGATTTAGAGAGGGGCAGAGAAAACTAACGCTTCCCCACGGAAGTCAGCAACGGGGCTCCTTCCAAGAGAAACCAAGCAGACTTTTTCCCCAATAAGTGTGAAAACCGGCTCGTTTCTGACTACTTGTGCTACAGCCATCCCGCAACGACCCCAACCGCACGCTGGACCTCGGCTAAATTGAAAAACTACTCTGACACACTGCTGTTTGTTTGGCAGGGAGGTGTGGGGTGAGAGGGAGCGTAACGAGGGTGTCCAAGGCCCTCGTTCCAGCAAGCTGGACAAACCAGTGCACGAAGAAACCCCTGCAAAGCAGAAACAAGAGTTCACAGAGGCTCAATCAGTGCAAAAATCCCGAGCAGCAGAGGAACGAGCAGCACAGAGGGCTCTTTTGTTCGCAGCGAGTAACAAGACTGCACGAGGGAACGTGAGAAGGTCACTGGCGACGGGGCTCCGAGGGGCTCCCCAGCACCTCCGCGGCCCGACGCTCGACATCGGGAGGGTGGGAGGCACCTGGAAGACCCCACCCTCACGTTCCCAGACAACAACCGCGGAGGTTTTCGATCCATTTACACCGATTCAACAGAAAAACACCCCAAACTGGCCACTGGTTTTCTCACAAGTGGAAGAACACTGTTATGTTATCAGGGCAGACAGGGAGGAGCTGGGGAGAGCGGGAGGGGGTCAGCGTTTCTGCAAGGTGTTCACACACGTTTCAAAATTCCAGAGCAAGAGGAAAAAGCTTCCAGCAACGGGCTTTAAAGAGTCAGAAGCGGCTGACAGCAGCTCCCTGCCACTGTAGAACTTGAAAGCAAGACGAGAGAGGGAAGAGAACCAGGCCTTCCTCAGAGTAAACACACACCAGAGTGAAAAAACCATTCTCCCAGTTTTAATAGTATAAAACCAATGTGTTTTTAACTCGACAGCGTCCCTGGGGACAGCGGGGACACGGACACAGCACGCTGCCTTCAGGCACTGTCAAAAACCAGTTGTCTTCCAGCAGTTCACTGTTTAAGGGCAGGGCAGGGAAGCGGCTGTAGTGTCTGCTGGATCAGACTGGAAAACACGATCCTAAAGCCAAAGCCTCCGCGGGGCCAGGGAAACAAAAGTGTTTCTTGGGAGCGCTGCGAGGCGTCGGATGGAACGGGAGAGATGCGGCCGCCGGCGAGGCCGACCGCCGCAGTCCGACTTTACGGTCTTCGCGCGGCGTCACTGCGCGTCCTTCCTAAGCCCTGGCAGCCCGGGGTGCCCTCGGCAATTCCCCTGGCACAGGTGGGGCCCTGGACTGGCGGCACCGGCGCCAGCGTTGTGTTTCTCGTTCCTCCTCCAGCGTCGGCCTCTCTTGGTTACGGAAGAGATGGGGGACAAGGCTATCGCGGCTTCGAGTCTCAGGTCTTGGTTGGAACGGCTCAGGAGGAGAATTTCCAAGTCAGCCTCCGCATCCAGGGGCAGAACGGGGCGTACTGCACTGGTACTTGGAGAGGAACCCCCTCCTGAGACCGGAGGCAGGTGGGCTTTCTTAGACGCTGCTACAGCTTGAGACCATCTGGTGCATACAGATTCACGTGCTGGACAGGTTCCTCACAGCTGAGACATCTCCTCTCTCCCTTCAGCCGGTGCAGCAAGGCACAGTCACAGCAGAAGACGTGCTGGCAGGGGACCAGGCGTCCGTAAATTCGGATGGGAAATCCACAGTGGTGACAAGAAGGGGCTGGG